TTTGTTTACTTTCTTTATCAAGAATAGTTGATGAGAAATATCTAGAAAAGGGAAAAAGGTAAGATGGTGATTGATGGAGTCAAATCAAGAATGGATTTCATTAGAGGGAGTATTTCTGAACATAGATACAAGAGCTCTAATCTGAAATACAATTCAAAATATCATAAAACTGAATGCTATAGAGGGATCTAACCACCTATTTATAGAATAAAAGATGGTATTAGAAACATAGCAACCATACTAATTCTAACTACAACATTAGTGATCTTACATGGGAACCCGTGTTAATTTCTTACCTATTAGACTATGTGATTATCATTTAAACAACATTTTCATTGATTTAATAAATATTTCATATTTATAAGATATATTTAACACTTAAGTATGTAGATATATTTTTTGAGTAATTTAGAAAAAGTGATCAAATTTTTACGATTTACGATTCGGTACAAGGTCATTTCGATTCACGATTTGAATTCCGATTTGACAACTATACTATACTACTATAATAAATACACCAAACCAAATAAAGAAAGACGAGAGAGAAAAAGTATAGAGAGAGAAATTGGGTGAGGGCGGAGTGAAAGAATTGGTGTTTCCTCCGTTGCACACATCTCAAGCACCGCTGTAAAATTGCATCTATCTATATCTATATATTTGGATGCATACATACATGATGTAACGCATGGAACCAAACATTATACTTCTTAAACAAACGTTGTGCACTACAAACTACAAGAAAGCAAACCCTGAGTCCATGGATTCACTGTGAGCCTCGTAATCTTCATTGGAAAGGAGATTACACCTCTCTTCATGAATTACAAACCTACATCTACTAATGCTGTTGAAGATTGAAGCTTGATTTGCGCAATTTCTTTATCATTTTTGGTTGGGGGTGCACATTCAAGCAAGATCGAAGCTTGATCTACTTCTGGGTGTGATGAAATAACAATATTGAAGCTTGATTTTGCAAGAATTGAGGGCTTGGGTGTTTGAATCTGTGGATTGATCACTTCAATAACCATTTTTCACAACTTTTTGTTGTTGTTGTTGTTGTTGTTGTCGTCGTCTTGACTGCTACTATGATGGGTTGGTGAGTCTTGGATGACTTCTCGGTTGTTCTGTGTTGGTCATTCTTCTTGTTCAGTTCCCTTGTCGCACCCTCAAAAGGTGTGCCCAATCTGTCAAAAGGCGTGCCATCAAAAGGCGTGCCCAATCTATAAAAAGGCGTGCCATCAAAAGGCATGCCATCAAAAGAAGCGCCCATGTTGTCGTCGAGCGCCGAGCGACGCATGATGCGCGTGTCTGCCTTGGCTATTTAACCAAGGTTGAGGCAGAGGCTGTGCAAACCAGTCTGAAACCGCTGAACATTTGCATTCTGAAATACTCTGTAAACACTCTGTAACCAATCCTTCTCTGAAAGTGCCAGTCGAAAATCGCTGCTTCGTTGAAACACTCAGCAACCCAAAAACATGGCCTCTTCTTCCCGTCCAGCTACCTAGAACATGGCCTCCTCTTCCCGTGGTCTGCTCACGCTCTTTCCAGACCTGAACGAGTCCACAAGAGAAATAACTGGTGCGGTGGCCAGTGAACCTCAACCAAACACCTCTGGTTTTGCTCCGTTGAACTTTCCGATGCGGTCTGTGGAGCAAAATATGGCAGTGCAAACTGATATTGAGGCCAATCAGTATACTTTGAAGTCATGTGTGGAGACCATGGGCGGTCACAAACTTGTCGCACCGGCTTCAGAGTAGGACAAATGAGGTGCAACAGTTAAACGCCCAACTGGCTCTGCTCCAATGCATGTATAAGGATGCGCGAGCAGAGATAAGTGTGCTAAAGGCGGAAAATAAGGAGCTGAAGCGGAAGGCCACCGTGATGTTCCGATTTGGAGGGCCGCCATATGCTGCAGTGGAGGAGCAGGGAGTTGTGATCGTGCCCAGTGGAGTGGGAAACACGGAGGCAACACCGTCAAGGGCCGCCCAGGACAGAGGCAAGAAGAAGAGACCGGCGGCAGAGTAGAGAAAAAAAATCCTGCCTCTGGATGTGGTTGTTTTGTGTGTTTTGTTTTTGTGTTTGTTTTGTTTTTTTTTTGTTTTTTTTTTTGGTGTAAAATGCTGATCGGGGTTGATCCCCGGCATGAAGAAATGACAAGTTTGTAAAATGTTGTTTTGTTTTGTTTTGTTTTTTTTTGTTTTTTTTTTTTTTTTGTGTGTTTTGTTTAAAAAAAAACAAGGGATAAAGAAAATAGATAAAAAATATTTGGAGATGGATTATATGAAAAACATCAGTGTGATGGTTGCAAAATAAAGTGGGGGTAAAAGATATATTATGGGAGAGTGGGTATTTAAAAAAGAGGAAAAGTGATTTAGAAAAAATAAATAAAAATAATTGATTTTGAAATCAAACGGAGGAGAGAGAGAGTTTTTTTTTTTTTAATGGAAAAGGGAAGATAAAATAAAATAAATAAAGGTAAAGTGGGGTGCAAAAGGTGAAGGAAAGGTGTTGTGGGCGGTGGTGTAATGTTCAAAAAGAAAAGATAAAAAATAAAAGAACAATTTAAAAAACCAGTGATGGTGTGTGAATGAGTTGATATTGCGTAGTATAATATATTATAATGGTGTGAGGTGAATGAGTGCCTATGTTTGCATGTGCGTGTCGGCCGTGTGTGTTGGGATGTGGATCTGTGGCTTCATGTGTGTGCATGTGTGTGTCTGCCGTGTGTGTGTGGATATGTGTCTCTTTACATTTTCAACACTCAAAACAGCCGAGACTCATGCACCGAGAGAGAGAAGAAACAGATTGGTTTCATGTTTTGCTCCATGTTTATCTCCAGGCATTCAGTGTAGAATGCATTGCGATTGTGAACAATCTGTGAGTGGAATGACAACGGAACACCAGCAGACGAAGAAGAAGAAGATGGAGCGACGGAGATAAAGCTGTGGGTGGAGAAGATTACGGTGGCACACTGGTGGCAGCGGCGCGGTGCTTCTGCGGCCATGGGTGTCTCTTAATGGTTTCTTCTCCCTCTCCCTAAACCCGTGTGTGCATCTGTGTGTGTGAGTGCTCCGTCTATCCTCCCCCGATGAGGTGACACCGCTACCGGCTCCACCGTTGGCGATGGTGGTGGCGGCGCTTGTGGGGAAAGACTTGTGGCGGCGCTTGTGGCCGCCGAGGACTTGGCTAGTGAGGAAAGACTTGTGGCAGATGGAGCACTCGTAGGCCGACCACTTGAAAGTAGATAATCTGTTTCGGAAAATGGCATGAGCCATGGAAATGGAGTTTCATGTCCTTGGAGTAGGTGTTGTTTTGGAGAACATGGATGGGGCTCTTGCTAGTGGTTCAGTAATGGCAAAGCCAAATGGGAATCCTGAAACTGGTGACCAGTTGGAAGACGGAGCTACTAACTCAAATACTGAAGCAATTCACGAGCTTCAGGGAAACAGGATTTGGAAGAATTAATTAGAGAGAGAGTTGAAGATGCAGCATATTTCATATTTATAAGATATATTTAACACTTAAGTATGTAGATATATTTTTTGAGTAATTTAGAAAAAGTGATCAAATTTTTACGATTTACGATTCGGTACAAGGTCATTTCGATTCACAATTCGAATTCCGATTTGACAACTATACTATACTACTACAATAAATACACCAAACCTGTTAAAATTGATGTATTATTGATTGATTGTTGTATGTTATCAATTACAAATGGTGAGGGGCTCCTTATATAGGAGATGTAGTGGAGTAGGTGGTAGTAGGTGGTAGTGGTAGGTGTGTAGTAGGTGGTAGTAGGTGGTGGTAGGTGTAGTAGGCGGAGTAGGTGATGGTAGGTTTTAACAAAACCAAATAAAGAAAGACGAGAGAGAAAAAGTATAGAGAGAGAAATTGGGTGAGGGAGGAGTGAAAGAATTGGCGTTTCCTCTGTTGCACACATCTCAAGCACCGCTGTAAAATTGCATCTATCTGTATCTATATATTTGGATGCATACATACATGATGTAACACATGGAACCAAACATTATACTTCTTAAACAAACGTTATGCACTATAAACTACTGGAAAGCAAACCCTGAGCCTCGTAATCTTCATTGGAAAGGAGATTACACCTCTCTTCATGAATTACAAACCTACATCTACTAATGCTGTTGAAGATTGAAGCTTGATTTGCGCAATTTCTTTATCATTTTTGGTTGGGGGTGCACATTCAAGCAAGATCGAAGCTTGATCTACTTCTGGGTGTGATGAAATAACAATATTGAAGCTCGATTTTGCAAGAATTGAGGGCTTGGGTGTTTGAATCTGTGGATTGATCACTTCAATAACCATTTTTCTCAAACTGTTTTTTTTTTTTTTTTGGTTATTTCGTTGTCTTCACTGCTGCTATGATGGGTTGGTGAGTCTTGGATGACTTCTCTGTAGTTCTGTGTTGGTCATTCGTCTTGTTCAGTTGTACCCTTTTTCTTTTTTTGCTGGTTTATCATATGGGTCTGCAATCGGCACTTCAGGATACTGCAGTGCTGCCCGCTGCTCTATTTATACTACTTTGTTAGCTTTTTATTTTTTTCCAGATCATGGTTAATTAATATAGGCTGGGTAGGTGTTTGTTTGAGATATATTTCCAAGTTCTAACCATGTGGGTCAGTAGGCGCAATGGGTGTTTGAGTGTGATACTGTTACATTAAATTAATAAATAATTTTCTTGGGTCACATTAATTAATGAATAATATTCTTGAGAATTGTGAATGCAATTACAAACTAATAATTACAATTCCACATGGGAAATTCTCCATTCTTTGGCTAAAAAATAATATAAAATTCAATATTTGTTTACAAAAACATGTTTTAGGTGCCACAATGTTAATTAAAATCATTACACACATTTAAATTGTGATAAAATAAGGTTTGAATATATTTACGAATAAGTTTTTCGACATGTGCTAGTGCTTGAAAAAAAATCACAAGTTCGGTTTCTGATTCCCATTACACATTGGCAGATACTTCCAATATCCATTAGATGCTACCGCGACCGTTACACTGATCAATACTGCGATTTAGAACCATGATGTAACAGGTACTTTTGATGGTATGTAGTGGAGGTGAGTGATTGTGATTTGTGATAGATAATACCTTCTTGTTAGTTTTCTTGTTCTCCTTCTAATTCTGTTTTTTGTCTTCAGTTTGCAGACTGATAAAATACCCAAATGGATTACGACAATGACAGGTATGTTGTGACCTTTTTTACTCTTATTCTTTAAGTGTGATTTATAGATTGTTCTGGAAATGCGTTGGTTGTGATCTGTGTTGATTTTATGGGTTTAGTTCCTAAAATGTTGATTCCGTTGTTGGTTATTCTTTTGTGTATTCGTCAATTTCTTTTGATTGAAATGCTGTATTTGTGAGATGGGTTCAATTGATTTCATCCCCCTGGCTTCTGGGTTTCTTTTACTCTACAGCAGTTAGAAGGGGAAAATTAGTACGAGGCTGTGGATTTTGATTACTGGGTCTTTTATTTATTTATTATTAATTTTATGTTTGATTTCCTTGTATTATTTTTTATCACAGAGTTGAAAATTTGTCTAAACATAGATTGTGATCCTATTCCTCTTAATTCATAAGTCTCTCTCTCTCTCTCTCTCTCTCTCTCTCTCAGGCATCCATTCAAGTGAGTGCTGAATGAGTGGTGCCTTTGTGTTTCTGATAGCTGAGGTGTCACCCCTGAGTTTTATCCTCTAATGGCAATTTGTTTTGCAGGCATTGATCCATGGGCTGAATAGGCATTATTACTCAATAGCCATTAATTACAGGAAGAATGAACTTGAGGAGAAAATGCTACTGAACCTGCACAAGAAGAAGTGGACTGATGGCTTGACACTGCAACGATTTGATACCCATTCCAAGACCAATGAGCAGACTGTTCAGGTAAGTGAAGCTTTTTGTGAGGCCAAGAGTTTCATTGTCTTGTGTGTGTGTTGTATTTGGCACCTTTGCATTAAGGTGCAGAGGCTACACATTTTTTGTTTTTTTAACCTCAATTTTGAAAGATTTTTATCGTGGATTGCTGTGTTGCCTTTTGTACCTGAGAGTCAAGGTCCATAGAGTGTTGCTATCCTGCATAGATGCATAGGATCTGATGCTGAATGCCCTAGAATCAAAACAATAATATGGGAATGGTAATACAATCCAGTATTGAGATAGAAGTCCTTCAAGTGTTGCCTGTAGATTGCTTCAAGGGGTTAATCTAGTTTGTTTTTCTTATATCCTGAAGACCCAAAAATAAGACACTAATATGGAGATCAGTCATGACATGGATATTATGTTTCTATTAATTTTTTTTTTTCTCTTTGCGAGTTTGTTTTCCAATATATACTAGAAGGCTAAAATCTGAGCCTTTTAATTTTGTAGTCTGGAAGAGATAACTCAAAAATCAACTTTGGATGCACTCAAATTTATTTAAAATCGAAGGTTTGTGCAAGCCTATTTCCTCGTGGAAAATGTTACATGATACATCTTTTGCTGTTCTTGGGGAAAAATTCTACATAGTGGTCTTATTTTGGTTTCACACAAAAGATAATTGTTGAGATACCTGTTCTGTTGTATATTGACAATTATATGACTCCTATCTTTTGGAAGGGAAACAAATTTATCATCCACCGCATATCAAGATAAATTATTTTATGATATCAACATTTTGTCAGGGGATCATTATTGGTCAATGATCATTATTGGTCAATGCAACTTCTGAACTAGTTTAGATTTGGGTTTCACCTAATTAATTTGTTCTTGCTCACTTCATTAAGGAAGTTTCAAACACTTGCATTTATAATCAAAGTTTCAGTTGAAATTACGTTTTAGTATTAATTTGTGTGATTGAATCAAGTTTCACAAAACCATTGGATCACTCTTTTTTGGTTCTTTGATTAGGAGAGAGAAGATTCACTTGAAGAGGCTTTATCTGATATGTCGCATTGGGTGTCTGGTTTTGAAGGTTTGTCCTGTGAAGTTCTGTTCTGAGATGAATAGGTTCTTAACATTCATACATGTTTTTTTTTGTCTTGTTTGTTATAATGTGCTTAACAGAGGAAACATCTGCAACTGGTCACGAGGGCCTGGATCAGTCATCTGAGGGATGGCTAGCTGATTGCTTCAATAATGATGAGATGCATTGCAGCCCTGATGATCTGTATATATCTCTCAACTTTTCAATTCAGTCTTCTTCATCTTCTCCCTTATTTTATTAAAAAAAAAAAAAATTATGTTTCTTTTTTGTTTATTATGTATATAAATTATGATTCAACCACTATAATATGTGGAACACAGAAATCTGTCTGGGCCATCCGATGTTCAAATTGACATTTCAGGTAAATGAAGTAGTATTTTCCATTCAATGTGTTGATTATTTTTTAATTTCTATTTTCCTTACACTTTTTCCTTTGTTTTCTTGCTTCTTTATGTATTTTCTTTTTTCTTTTTTCACATTTATATTAGTATATATATAATGTTACATCACTTTTGTAGAGTTTTGCAACACCCCACCTGAATATGAAGCTTGTGTGGCCCAAGAGCATCCTACTGGAACTCGTAAAAATGCTGTTTTCAAAGGTTTGTATTTCTTCTCAATCTTATTTTGTAGCACATATTGCTTGAATGCAAAATTGTTATTAACCAAGGAGTCTTTTCTTTATGTAATGGAACCTTTTGTTTACGAGTAGAGACACCTTTGAACCAGTAGTGTCCAAAGATGTGTTTTGTGAAATAATCTTTGTACTCACATGTAAATTACAAAGTCACCACTTGTGCTCATATGGTAAACTTAAGTTCCAGCTATTCTCAACTTTGTTTTTCATACTTAGGTAGGAAGTCATACATGCGAACTCCAACAAAGTTGGCTTCATCCGTTGCCTATCCATTTGCCTTTATTAAACCATGTGGTGTCCGTGGAGATGTAACTTTAAAGGACATCAACCAGCGCATACTCACTCCACCACCCTCAAAATCGAAACAAGGTAATGAAGATCCTTCTGCCTCTTATCCCACTTCAGCTATTTCTGGGAAGCCTGTTGTTGGCAAAACTAAAATTCGCACCGAGGGGGGAAAAGGCAGCATCACAATCATGATAACCAAAGGCTGAATAGATATGTGTTCTCCAAAATTTTATTTTTGGTGGCATTGCTCCATTCTATTTCAAGGTCAAGTTTCTTTTGTATCTTCTCAGGCAGCTAGTATAAAGTTAATACTTCATTCTTAGGTTGGTGTTAAATCTTGGAATTCATAAATTAGGTGAAGTGTTTATGTTTCCAAGTGGTTTTGTAGGCGACAAATACCTGTTGTTTATAGCTGGTGGGACTGACTCAAGTGAAATGAGGATCTTGATGTCTAAGAGATCCTCTTAGCTGCTTCTTGTCATTCGAAAAACTTTGTCAATGATTTCACCTAGTTCCTTTTAATGTGAAGAGCCTGTGTTTACTTTGTATCTTGTGTTGCTTGAGAGATTGCTGAGATTGCTGTTATTGCAAATGTATCTATAGATACAATTTTTCTGTTGATTTTGTGTGACAAGATCAATTAGGTAAATGAACATTGTAGGTGCTAATGAAACTTGTAAATTCAAATATGTAGATATCAGTATGATTTGATCCATTGCTTGCAAATCATTAGTGTATGTTTCTTTCGAGCTTTATCAACAATAGACATAGCTGAATGGCGTTGAACAAAGGGCCATGTACCCTTCATTTGCATATATGGATATTACTGGATGAGAAAATCTCTCTGCTATATTAAGCTTTTTAAGGATATCATGTATTTAGAAGGTATACATAAACTAGTAAAACCTCGGAAGTATATTTTTTCTGCACTTCTTTTTAATGTTCTATGAATTCCTGAGATATAGATTGACAGACTGGTTCATGAACATATAGATATACATGAACTAGACATACCTCAGAAGCATTACACATATATAAATCTGTAATGTGTTAATGGGATATTATATAGCACATATATAGAGCAGGTTTCCCTCTATTAGTCTGAGTTTGATTTGCAATTGAGTATTAAATATATGAAAACGTATAGGTGTTTGTGTTCTGCTGTTCGCAAAAAAAATATTGTAGAGAGAAATTTTAGTTAAGGTCCAATGGGCGACCATGTTTGGTTTTGAAGGTCTTAAGAATTACTTTTTGAGTTTTGAATTTGTGTTTTTTGAATTTAGAGAACTTTTTTAATAGTTTTATTATTATTTTTTTTTTACTTTTTAGATTTACTTAATGTAGATAAGTACAAAATTTGTATTAAAAAAAAAAGTTTACAAAATAATTATAAAAATTTAGTATATTTTTATATTTTTGTATTTATTGAATTTTTTTTAAAGTTTTTCATAAATATTTTACTTTTAAATACATTTTAATTATTTGCATCTAAAATTTTTTTGACTAAAATATGAAAAAAATTTAATAAAGATAACAAAATACGAAAAAAAAACCCTTAAAAATTCAAAAATTATTTTTTTGAAAACTCAACCAGAACTTGGTTTGAGAGCTTCTAGTGAGTTCTTGCTTTTTTTAGAGAAAATATAAAAGGCAGTTATTATATTAAAATAAAAATAAATAATATTCACAATAAGAAAAGAAAAAATAACAAAGCTTCAAAAGGCTAAACAAAAAATTAACAGGATGTACAAACAATGGAGCCGTCAAAAAAATCAATTATAGTTCTAGAAAAATCACCGTTTTACATATGTGATTTGAAAAAATAAAATCTGCATTAAAATAAAGCCCAAACTTGTCATCACCATCGTTCTTGCTGTTGCTACACACTGCCTCTGCTGCCACTGGACTTTAGTTATCACGGAAAGCCAAAGTTGAAGAAAAAGAACACTCATAATAGCAAGGAAGAAGGATTAAGAGAATAGATGACCATTGTGGGTGTCAAAATTTAGGAGAGAAGCTCTCAAATTTTTTTTTCCTACGCTTAGAAAATCTAAATTTACACTTTAAAAATATTTGGGAACTTGCGGGAAAATCACATGAAGAACTCCGAAAATCACCTAGTGAGTTGTTTTGAGTTGTTACATATCTAGGAGAGAGAGAGAGAGAGAGAGAAAATTGTATTATATGTATATTTAATATCAGTAATGATTCAGAGCGCACTAATTTTGGTGTTCTAATGGAGCACTAATGACATGGCAATGAGGAAAAAAAAAACAAACAAACAAACAAACCAAGACTAAAGAATAATGTTTGGAACCACTAAAGTAGTAGCTCTAAAGCTGCACTAATGATGTGGCATTGCTATGGGTCCCATCTTGATGTGATAGTTTGGGCTTTTTTTTTTTTTTTTCCTTGTTTTTTTTTTTTGCACTAGCTGGCATTAGTGCTCCTAAATTAGTGATCTGTATCACCATCGAAGACTAAAACATCACATCACAGTGGATGAAGCCCACTACCAGCTCATTAAAGCTAGCTTTAGAGTTCAAGAATTAGAGCTCCAAAGCATTTTTCATTTAATATTCTGTATCTTACAATACAATGAAGACGCCTATGTATAGGCAAGGTTAGGAAAGAGTGGACAACAAGAAAGTTATGAAAATATCCTAATATAGTAAAACCTAATTACAACATCTAATATATGTAGTGAATATTTTATATATATACCATATTCACTAACAACCACCCTGAAACTCAAGGTGATTGCAAAGAGACTAACAGAATTTGAAAAGAGAAATAAGATAAAATTTTAAAATAATAATACTAAAAGACAGTTTATGGTCGTATCGGACTATTGTAGGAGCAGCTAGAGCTAATGTCGGAAGACAGTTTATGGTCATGTCGAACCATTGTATGAGCAGGGCCGGAGCTAATACCAAGAGACAGTTTTTGTTGAGATTGTGCCGAACCATTTGAAGAAACTTGCCAGAGATAATGTTGGAAAATAGTTTTTGGTGAGGTCATGCCAGACCGTTGAAGAAGAAACTGAGAGCAAAAGTCTCAGCCAGAAAAGAACTATATGCACTAGAAGGTAGCTTGGTAAGAAACCATGTGCGCTAAGGGAACGGCTTAGGTGGTTCGCATGGTGTACAACCATACTTACTATAATATAGGTATAATACGTCCCTCAAACTCAAATAGATTTGAAGATAGAAACCTATTTGAAGTTGAAGCAGATAGAAAGACAAAGGGGAGCGGAATGGAGAAAACATGTTCGCAAAAAAAATATTGTAGAGAGAAATTTTAGTTAAGGTCCAATGGGCGACCAAGGCAAGGCTGCCGTCCGCCGGTGAAAGCAAAATTATTAAGCATTTAATCTAACTCTGATGCCATATTATAATATCTAAGAGAAAGAGAAAGAAATATTATATTATATGTATATTCAATACTGTGTATCTTACAATACAATAAAGATGCCTATATATAGGCAAGGTAAGAGTGAGCAATAAGAAAATTATAAAAATATCCTAATATAGTAAAATCTAATTATAATATCTAATATAATATATATGTACCATATTCACTACCATGGGTAGTAAAGATAATTGGAAAGTCCTAAGTACGGGTTTCTAAAGCCTAAGGAAACTCAAGAAATTGAAGATTTGAGTTGAGTAAGTGGGATTTCAAATAAGAAAAGGAAAGGATAATTCTAAGCCAATATTTGATTCATTAAAATAGTGGAATAGAATAATTATTTAATTAAAATATTTAGTTGATTAAAAATATAATAAAAAGATATTAAAACAAAATTATTATTCATTATTATTCATCATTTTATTCTATTTAATTCAAGTGAATCAAATAGAGTATCAGAACTTGATTAGATTCCCTTGGGACAAATGTTAGGTATAAGTAAATTCTAAGTTTGGTTAGAACAAGTCAGCTTGGAAAGTTCAAAACTTACGTCAATTCCTCCAGGTATAAATTTTAAAGCTTCTTAGAGTAACACCAAATGCTCTCTTTATTTTTCAGTAGTTAAAGTATAAAAAAAAGTGTATTCTTTATATTATCTAACTAATTTTTTTTATCTCTGTGTCTTTATTTTACATATGTATCCACACAAATTAGTATAAAGAGTCTCCCAATACTCTCTACAGTAGCTAGCATGCAAGAATTTTGTTAAAATAACTATTGTACAAGTTAGCCCATTGAAATAAGTAAAATAGTATGAAACTAGCTATAATAGCTAACAAGCCTCTTTTAGGGTTGTTTTGGGAACTGGGCTAGTCATTTTTTAACTTTTAACCTATTTTGGATCACATCATCTCTTTATTTTTTTATTCATTTTTTCAAAAAATCAACTTTTAACTAATTTTCCAAAACAAGCCTTAAAAGACCCCTGGTAGATGCTGTCATACTGCATTTAAGAGCATCTGCATCAAAGTAGCTAAACTTTTAAATAAATTTTAGCTAGAAAGCTATTTTTTTATTTTAACTAGTCACATTTTCCAATATATTTTTCAACAAGCTCTTCATATATATATATATATATATATATTTTCTATTCTATTTAAATATTCTTTTGAAAATCATATTTTTTTTCAAATGTCAAATTTTTTTAAATTGTTTCAAATGTCATATTTTTTTAAACCGACATTTTTCTAATGGCCATATTTTTCAAAGAGAATGTAAAAACATTGTAATACTAGAATGATATGGTAGTAGCATATAAATAAATAAAAATTATTTTAATGTGTCTTATATTTGACATGAAAATATTATATTAAACCATGTTATTTTGTATAAATTTTCTGTTTATATATTGTCGCAACTCTTATCAAATGAACAATTTTTCAACCTATCATATTTTTTCGAAAATGATCTAAACTATTATTTTGTGCTCAAAATATATTGTTGCCCCAATTTCATTGAAATGTTTTACCAATATTTTATCATTTGGACAAATAATTACAAAATTGTGCAGTAAAAAAAATTATATTTTAATAATTAAAATAAAATACTTTTTCATATATATATATATATATTTTAGCCGCATCACTGCAATTATTTCCCTTATCATTTCATACTTGTAGCCAGTCCAAAAGTGCCGGCTACATGTGGCGATGGAGTCGGGGCTCCGTTAAAGTGATGATTGTACTGACAAGTTTAATGGACATGGAGTGCAATTTGTACAAATTTTCTGGTTAAAGTAGCTAAGCAGTGAGTTTGGTCTTTTTGATGTTGACCAAAAAATTATTAAATTAGCTAAAAAGTTAATAATTCATATCAAAAAGTTAAAAATTCTCTTTTCTCTCTATTTTTTGTACATCTTTTTGTAATTAGTCAAAAATGTATCCCAAACATACAAGTTTTTTTTACTTATCTTTTTAGCCAAATAACTAAAAAATTACTAAATTAACCTGTTCCCAAACGAGGCTTCAATATCAGCCGATATTGAGAGGTTGGCTAATTTATCATTTATAACTTGTTTGGAAAGTAATAATTTTAATTTATAATTCAAAATGTTATTAAAAAGATTAAAATTTTATAATTTATATCAAAAAGTCAAAATTTCTATTTTCTCTTTACTTTTTACACATCTTTTCGTAAAAAATTAAAAAGTCATTCAAAACATACAAATTTTTTTTACTTCATCCTTTAGCCAAAAAATCAAAAAATTATTAAAATAATTTGTTCACAAACGAGGCCTTAATCATTCTTTTGATTTGATTATGACATTATAGACTATTTTTAATTTATACTTTTAAATAAATTTTCTAGAAAATCTCTTTTTACATACTTGTATTTAAATTAGTCGAAGAGATATTCTTATATATTCTAATAAATTCTATTATTTTAAAATTTTGATCTACTAAATCTTAACTTTCATATTTGAGATCTTTTATGAACATTTTTATTCGGAAAATGCTTTGTAGCACTAAAAAAAGTCCCCCTAATCCCCCTAATTTCCTTTTTGGGAAACTGTTTTTTTTTTTTTTTCTATCTTTTTTTTTTTTTTTTTTTTTACTAAAAACGGAAATTGTGGGGATTCGGGGGACCCCCATTTCGGGGGACGAAGCACTACCGTTTTTATTCTTATAGATATTTTGTCATCTAAACATACAATATATTTATATATACATATATATTGTATATTTCATTTTGAATATATAATAAATTTATCAAACTCCGCAACGATAATATTGCCGCTAAATTCAATAACGCGAATATTCACATTTGCCCAATATTTGTCAATATTTTCATTATGAATGTTCACACTGTAAATGTTAACATCCAGATTATTCACACTTCACACACACACACATTCACATTATCATTCATATTCACAATAAGAATATTCAAAATCATTTTCACATTTATATGATGGTCATACACAAATTTTGAAACACCAACCAAAAAAAGTCCTATATGGATTTTGGTATTCACGATCAAAACATGAATTACTAGTGAATATGAGTTTCACACATAAAAGATAAGGACTATAAGTCAATATGAAATTTTATATCCAATGTTGCGAAATCGTTATAGGCTTCAGAAAGGACTTACGTTTTGTGCACATGTTGAATTCGGTGAAGATAGATGGCAAGATTGATGTGAAATTTGGCAAAGACAGAAGACAAGATCAAAGGAAAGTTCCGCAATATCGAATAATGTTGTTCATCGGAGATTGGATGACAACGACGGACGGTGGATTCGCCAATTTTCTCCCAATCACAAGCCCGTAATCTCAATACTCATCTGGGAACATGGGTGATATTGTGTAGATATTCAGGGAGGCGACAACATTTTCCTTCAATGTGGCTGTTTGTATCGAAAATGACTGCTAATTGGATGGTGACACAAAAATTGTAATTTTAGCAAGCCCCAAATGGTAACAAATTTGGGGTTCTAGAATGGATATGATGCGATCATAGTGTGAATTGGTGGTCAAATCCCTAGAGAGTTGGGATTCATGTAGGCCCCATTTCTCTTTTTTCTTATACATATATATATATATATATCTTAATTAATATATGTTATTAGATAATAAACGAGGAGAACAAGTGATAATAATCCAAGAGGTTCTATATCCACTACCTAAAGCAAACCAATGATGAGAGTTAAATGTGCTCAACAACTCTTACAAAGGCGGTGTGGATTGACCAAACAAGGACACTTGTCATCTAACGACTCATGTTTTCAGGAGGATCTGGTCAACCCTATCTTTGAGGTACAAACCAACCACTTGCATAGAAGGAGGAAGCTGTTGGGACATATGTCAGCTCAGGAAGTTGTCCAGCACCCTACTTTCAAGATTTTATGGAGATTTTCAGGAGGCTATTACAGGTTTTCAAAAGACGGACGAGATTTTCAAGAGGACTTGACTACTATAAATACAAGAAATAAAGATGGAGCAAATCCCAATCAATCCAACATTTAACACAGCTTAATACATAGCCTAGTATTATTTATTCTTAGTTTAGTTCTAGTTCAACTTAGGAGTAGAGTTGAAAAGTATATTTGTTATAGATTTAGCTTTAATTTCTTAGGTTCCATGACATCCGTGTCAAATTAATTATTTTTGGCCTTCATATACATTATTTTGAGACTTAGATTGTATTTGCATCCATTTTGTAATTCAATTTCATGTTTCAAACTTGTTTTTATACTTTTATGTGTTCAATTCCATGAATTTATGAAAGTATATTTTCTGGTGTTTATTTCCCTCTATTTATCTCTCTTTTTGACATTAAAAATATATGGAGATTTTAAGCTCTCTTAATTGAGGCAAAACAAGAACCAGTAGGTCTTTTATCTATTTGAGCCTCACACAACCTTCTATTTTCAGAAGTAAGATTTTTTCCAAGTATATTTTCCCTAACTTATGGTATTTTTTTACACGAACAGTGACTTATGTGAGTTTGAATCCCAAAATACACTAAGCCTCCGTTTGGGAAGTGGGTTGGCTTTTTGACTTTTTGGCTATTTTAGCCTGGGCTATTTTAGCCTGGTTTGGGAAGGACTTTTTGGCTTTTTGCCTTTTTTGGCTTTTTTTGTGAGAGAAGATTGTAATGATTATGGGTTGGATTTGATGTTTTGTTTTTTGTGGCTAAAATAGCCTATTTTGTTTTTTGTGGCTATTTTAGCCCCAAACCAAGTTCCCAAACAAAGGCTAATAGTGTTATTTTTGTAACTTTGCAAATTAAAAGATTAATTGGGTTATAAGAAATTAAAAATCACGAATTTGAGCACAAGTACAAGGAATAAGATTTTTTTTTTTTTTTAAATGTGCCTATTTATTAAAATAGGTGAAAATCCAGTGTAAGGGTGTGTAAACTTTTTTTTTTTATAGCATTATCAAAATTCTATTTAAAAGTTTTTAAATTTTAAATTAGATCTGTCTTAAATATTTTGAATTTATGCTATGAATTACATTAATAATACAAATAGATATATGTATATATAATAGATAATTTTTTACCATTTAAGATTTAAAAATTTTACATTTGATATGGTATAAACACGGTTACAATTTTAGTTTGGACTTTCTCAATTAATATTTTCAAAATTTTAAATTAGATGAGTCAGAATGAACCACTCAATATTCCATAACATTATTAAAATACTATTTTGGACATTTTTTTAATTAAATTTACAAATTTAGATAACTAAATTCTATTGAAAAAAATTCAAACTTCAAACTAGAATTGGCTTAAAAAAATTTTTAACTTTTCATCTAAACATTTTAAAATTTTAGATTAGATATGATTTAGATGAGCCAGTATATATCAATTTTTGTAAATAAAAAAAGGGATAAATTTAAATTAATAATTTGAATAACTGTAGTAATATAGATATAATAAATAATTTTTTAATTAAATATGAATAAAATTTCATGTTAAAATTACCATTTAAAATATTTTCAAATTTCATATGGGTTAGACACAATTAAAAATTTATCTTGAACTTTCTATATAAAATATTTTCAAAATTTTATTAAATGATCTATATAATATTTTCAAATGGTAATAAATCTCAAAATGTAATCTTGTGAACTGTTTAGTCTTCTCTTTTTTCTTATAAATCCAAAAGTCCCATTAAAATGAAAATTACACAAAAGGATATTCACTTACCTGTTTAGATTTAATTTTTTAAGGATAAAATTGAATTTCTCTAAAGGTAAAATTACATATTTGGGCAATCCTCGTTATAGTAGTTTTGGATTTTTTCTCATTTTGGAACAAATCTCACATTACGAATAAAAACGTAGCACTCTAATATAACATTCTAACAACTTAACACTTTAATGTAATACATTAAAAAAATCTTTGGTGTACTTTTTTCAAACGTAACAACGTAACTCTAAAAAAAAAACTCTTTAATATACTTTTCCTAAGCGTAACACTCCAATGTAATACCAAAAAAAATAAAAAATAAAAAAATAAAAAATAAAATCTTAATGTAGTTTTCCTAAACATAACACTCCAATCAATGTAATATCAAACGTAACACTCTAACGTAACATACTTTAATGTAACACACACAAAAATACTAAAAAAAAATTTAGTATATTTTTTTCAAACGTAACGCTCACAGTTTAAAATTATATATTTGCCCAAAATTTATTTAAGAACATTTGCACTCCTTTTGGAATTATTTGAAAAATCCCACATTCTTTTTAAAATGGTTTAAAAAATCTCATATCCGTTTTTTAGAGTGTTACATTAGAAATTATATATTTGCTCAAAACTTACTAAAAAAATTTTGCACTCTTTTTAGAATAATTTGAAAAATCTAACCTCCTTTTAAAATAGTTTGAAGAATCCTACATTTTTTTTGTGTGTTACATTATAATGTTACACTAAGGAGCTTTTTTGAGTGCTATACTAAACCGTTATGTTTGGAAAAAAATACACTAAAATTTTTTTTTATATGCTACACTAAAAGGTTTTTTTAGAGTGTTAAATTAAAATATTACATTTGAAAAAAATATACTTAGAATTTTTTTTTTAGAGTATAATGTTTGAATGTTACATTGAACAAAAAAATTTTATACTTTTGAAATGTTTGAAGAATCTCATATCATTTTGAAATGTTTGAATAATCTCATATTTCAAATCATTTTTAAATATTTTCCAAATAAAAAAATTCTCATATAACAATTTGTCCCAAATTTGATTCCCATATATTTTGTACCTTACCTTTCTAGCGCCAAATAATAATAATAATAATAATAATAATAATAATAATAATAATAATAATATAAAAAATAATAGAAATAAAGGTATAATCGTAAATCTAATTTTTAAATAATATATTAAATATACATTTCCAAAATCAATGGAACTAATTAGTTTGTAAAAAATTTTAAAAAAAAAATCACCATTTCTCACGATTGGATTTATAAGTAAATTTTCCATTTTCAGAGAGAAGTGCAAAACATGCTTGGTTAAAACATTGAATAATCAACTACACATTAGTTGGTTTGGGGTACACTATATAATCCATCTTTTTATCATCACATTACCTCTCTACTTTTCTGCACATCTTTTCGTAAAAAAGCAAAAAGTGTACTTTTTTAAGACACCCCAAACCAACACAATAGTGCAGTGCAAAAGAGTAGGGCTTAATACATGTGAATCAAAGTAGTGTTGTACGAAAAGTGAGATAGAAGTGAGCATTCAGCCCAAAATTATGTAAATACAAGCGAGCGTTACTTAGAAATAAGTGTGCATTTAGCCTATAGCTCCAATATTACCATCAACACGAGGGAGAGTTACTTCTCAAATGGGATAAATATACCAGACAATATAGAGTTTTAACCTGGAGAGAATTCGATTCACTGCCTTACCCAAATCCCATCAACAGTCCTCACAAAAACACGTGGTTGCTTCATTGGAAACGTATGTCTCCAGTCTGGGTATCGAATCAAATAATCACACTTCCTGATGAAAGAAAGAGTTAATGATGATACTCTATTATTTATTGTTCATCCTATCACATTAAATAATGCCAAAGAGGTTTCAAAGTACAACCCTCAAAGCTACACATTCTGACTTGATGATGGTAATACCATATTAGAAAGAAAGAATCATCCTATCACTGAAGCTTCTAACATTGTACAACAGTCAAAGCTTAACAAACAAAAAGATCATTCTACACATGCTGCTGAAGACTTGCATAAGTTATTCTTTATAGGTTTCATGTTACAATGCTCAACTTCAAATGAAAACATGAAAGATTCTGAGTCCATTGTAAGGTAACACCACATTAACGGGAGCTACATCAGAAAATCAGTGGCTTCATCTTTAACATGGTAAAAAATTATTGAACTTCCTGCTGGTTTATGGAGAGAGAGAAAGAGAGAGAGAGATACCAAATGTAAATATTATATTTACTATACTTCAAATCAAAGCCTCACAGTGCTTTATTATTCTAGGAGTATTCTTCCCCTCCCTAAAATGTTTAAGCCAATTTAGAACTAAATAAATTCTGACCAAAAAAAAAACGAAACAGCATGACAAACATCAGAAAGTGGAAGAATAGCAGTCAAGGTCTAAGAAACACGGATACTTCTAAGAAGGAAACATGAAACTCATTGGACACTTCCCAACGCTTAACATACATCAAACACTTTACAAGATCAAATAAAACAACTTGGAAACCAATGATAAAACAAAAATAATGTAAATTTGTATTTATTCTTCTCCTTTTAGACTTCTAAAATTATTATCTTTGACTTAAATATTCATATGTATTACATATAATAATTATTTACCCACATATATGTAAATCATATATTTTTCACATGTCATGCCCTACATTCATTGTTGATTGAAGGTTTGCAAGCCCATAAAATTGGTAGTTTCTTATTCTATCATCATTAATGGGGAATTGGAAAATGTATAATACAAAAGCTTAACCCTGGGTTAAATGTGTGTACCTTCTTTCAGTATCCACAAAATCTGGGCCCTCGGCAAAGGGTGAAGTAGAGCGTGAAAGGAGGATTTCTGAATCAGGCAGTTCTTGTACAGTCAAAGCAAAATGTAATTGCCGCTTGGTCCTGTCAGTTGTAAAAGATGCAAAATTTCTATACAATATCAGCATGGTAAACAATAGACAAATCCAGAACAGTTTGATCATTCAAGGAGAAGAATAAAAGGGAAAATTAAAAACTACATGAAAAACCAGCATGAGCAAAATTAGTTGTTTTACTTTGGAACCATTTTGGTGAAAATGCAAGGATTCAAAGAAACAGAAAATGCAGAGCAAAATTTTTTACCAAGAGCATGGAGCAATGATGAAACGGTCAGTCTGAGTATCATATGTCTCTAGTAACCTGCCATTCCAATGGGAGTCCTCAAAACATGCAGTGATTCGGGTTCTTCTGACTATTTCATCTGGACATCTTGACATTCTATCAAAGCTAGCAGGGATAACTGATCCTGTAGAAGTTTCTACCTGAAAATAGCGAGAAATAAACAAGGACCTGTATCTTAAAATCCCAGGTAAAAGCCGCTATACACACATTTAATGGGGCAAGATTTTACCTCACTGGTCAATCAAGGAAGTTTCAACCAACAGAAATAAATATACCTTAAATGAGTAAATTGTGCACTGAAAATCTATCAAGGAACCAATTTTTTATTACACTACCACAGTCGCAATGCATCTTAATGGATCCTGTGCTATTCTAGTTTTAACAGCAGCTCCACACTCACATGCTCGTCATTTATTAAAAGCCCACATACTGCTCACTAGTTTATATGTAGTATTAGGTTATACATATCACATGGGCGCAAATTGGATTAACATTTGAATCACCTCATTCTGCTAGATACATAAATATATCAACAGATCTACAATCATGATGATCCTTTACGGGGAATGATGGTAGTCATCATCACCACAAGTGATTGTAGAAATTTGAAGTGGGACCACTACAAACTAGAACAGTGATGGCCCATGTTCTTGATGGTGATCAGGAGCATGCACCATATGTATACATTAACTATCTAAAATCTATGTAGTCCTGTTTTATCATTGTGTTCAGCATTGAACAATGAACTCAAACTGTAAGAGCTTGAGCATGAAATGGATATACTGATGAGTAGACTCCTGAAATGTTGCATTTCCTTCTGACAACTAATTGGAAAAGGAATTCGTAAATATGAAACTGACCAGAAAACCATGGAAAATCGGGCATGCATTTCCTCTAGAATCCCATCTGGTGTTGTGCCTAAGAACATGGAGGGTTTGAAGGTGAAATTTTCCCCTGCTCTTTTGCAAAGTTTCAACTATCTTTGCACACAAAGGAAAGGAATAGCCTTCCAATTTTGCCTTTCTTTCTGCCCTAGTACCATCACTGGCACGCTGCATACAAAAATTCAATACATTCAACCTACATCTCTGGAATATCAAAAACAAAGTAGAGGATCTTGGGGCAGACTTGAGGTGAGGCATCTTCGAAACCACCAATTAGGTGTACCTGCAATGTATACGCTTGCAGGGGTTACAAACCATGCAAAAATACCAAGTCATTAAACACAAATAATTTATCAACACGACAGAATTTGGAGGAAATAGAGAAGAATACATCCAACTCAGCATCAGAATTTTGATTGACAACTAAAGTTAACATCTGGGTGATGCCAACATCAACAATGTTTGGAGAATCCATGTGGGCAACAGAGGTCCTGCCATCAAGGTACCAGATTAAAAAAAAAAAGAAGAAGAAGAAGATAGAAATTCATAATCAAATACTTGAATTACATAAAATTCAACAAAATATTATCTTTAATGAAATATATTTTCATACATTCCACTTGTGCGGTTCCGAATGGCGAGACCCACACAGGTTGTTGCTTCATCAGTGCCAACTAACTTTTCAGGAGACACAAAAGAACCCATAGATGTTCAGTACAAGGAAGTCGAAAATATGTAAAACACTAGATGGATTGATGAGGAATGGGTACTTGAAAGACAGAAATCTACAACAATTCATTGCAAAACAAAATAAAAATAAAAAATTGCAATCGGTAATTAAATTGTTTGACTTCCTCTAAGCTACCCTAAACTGATAATGCAAAATCCATTTGGCTGCAAGATAGTTTATTTGTGCTCCAAGGATAAAACAAGATCCTATGTTTCAAGGGAACCAATTCAAGATATATAAGTATGAATACTGAGGGGGAGAAAAAGAAAAAGAAAAAGAAAAATGGAAGGAATAGTGAAATGATGTAATGCAACATTAAATTATCAAACCAAATTTAGTAATGATGTTACTTGCAGTCTATAGAAAGAAGACTGGCCTGGCTGCATGTAAAGGGTGATTAAAAGGAGGTAAGCGGGGTCTATATAACCCCCCCACAAAAAAAAAAAAAAAAATATGAGGAAGGCTGCATTAGCTTCTTCCATTTAACAGACAAAAGCGAATGATGTAACTAGGGTAGTACCCCATCCCACATCACTTGGTTATGAAAAGTTCTTGTGTTATGGGACTGTTATATAAGTGAGTTCGCATTCCTTCTTACTAACGATGTGTTTTAAAACTGAGGGTTTAGCCCAAAGCGAACAATATCATTACGGCCTAGGATGGAGGCATTACAGCCAGCCCACAAAACCAAAATTCCCATAAGGGTTGCACAAGAAGAAAATAAGTTGGCTGACTGCCAAGCATAAATACAAAAGACAGCAAGTCACAACCATCCATCTGAGTATGCACACAATAATGCATGAATGGTTGTCCGTGAAATGTTGACTATGATTGCGTTTAAATGGATACTTTCCATCTAAAAAAGACAACAAATTGATCAACCACCGTATAGTAAATGCCTGTGAAAGTGGGTCACAGCCATCTGCCCGGGCAAATTTTTTTTGAGATCATTATGATGTTCAACATGTGAATGTGTATTTTATGTCATTGATATTTAGTCTCACTCTGTTGCACTTCAGCTTGGATTTTTCCCTAGTTTTCATGATTGTGCTCTCTTTGTTCGTCGTACTTCTCCTACTGGACGTCTTCTATCTCAGACTAAATATGCGCGTAATATCCTTTCTTGAACCAATCTCATTGATAACAAAACTGTCGACACTCCTATTGAGTTGCATGCTATTTTTCTGCTTCTGATGGCGTTCCTCTCGATGATCCCACTACCTATTGAGAGTTGGTTGGGTGTCTTATTTATCTCACTATTACTCATCTAGACATGTCACGACCCCATTCCGCCCCTAGTAGAATAGTGCCGTGATGGTCAGTAATTCGAGATTACCAAAGGCCAACTTACAAAAATTCACACACAATCAGAGTATACATATGGGGCTTACATGTGCGGAAGTAATAAATTTAAATCTAAATAGCCCACAAGAGCTGTTCATAAGTCAAATGAAATGACATACATTTTAACATGGTGTACAACCTGGTTACAAATAAAATAAGTACATGTTACATCTTGATCAAAAGGCTTCTCGAGCCGACATATACAAGAGAAATGAATTACAAAGCTAAGAAACATAATTTTCAAGATGCTAGCAAAACATGAATCCAAAACAACTTGCAAAATAACATATAGGTATCACCGCCTTCTTACTCGTCACCTACATATATAAGGAGAGGGTGAGCTTGGATACTCAGTGAATGATATTAGTAATAAAGGTTTGAATGAATGATATTCGAGATCTTTATCAAAACAATACATAGCATATCTGTACAAAATCAAGGGATGAACCAAGTTCATCTATCAAGTCTTTCAAAGCTTCAAGGGATGCTTACTAGCATCAATATAATACAAGGGATGACATTCCTAACAAAACAAGGGAATAATCGACCCGGAATTGATTAGACAAACCCACCCGCACAAGGCCGTCGGTGGCAAGGGAGATATCTCAAACAAGGGTACTAGTTGCACTATAGTCCCCTAGCACTAAGGACTTTCCAAGAATATCATCAAAACAAGATAATACTTGATACAGAACTAGAAATAATCATTCATACTTGAACAAACACTTTTCCAAAACAAAACAAAACAAAGCAAAGCTTTTATCAAAACATCGTAACATAGCTTTATTAAAAATACCACTCACATAGCTCTTCGGGTGTAGGGCTAAAGACAAGAATCCAAGACCTACAAATACATGGCAAAGTCCATTGAATGCATTTCAAGAAGACAAGAAGAGATACTCAAAGATGGATATGAAATGCATTCTCAAAATAAGCTTTACACGAGTGCAAATGATCCCGGCATTTCTTTTAAAACTAAGTCAAGACGAAGTAAAACATGTGCTGGGAATTAAAACACTGTTTTTCATCTCGGGAAAACATGCTGGGTACCAACTAGGTCTTGGCCGAGGTCCCACACCTCTTGGCCGAGGTGTGGTCTCTTAGGCCTAGGTGTGAGATCTAGGCAAGAGTGGGTCCCGGCGACCACACTTGGGCAAATGAAGTCTGAAAATCTGAGTTTCCTCTTGAAGAACATGAAGAACATGAACATGAAGAGCATGAATGCTAAAATTGTAACTTCTTTATTCAAAATCTGAGATTTCATGATATGAGTTCAAAAACATAGACCTGGGTACCCGTACTTGGAGATTTCATGAAAACAAACACAAAAACATGAATCTTGATACAAACTTTCGGATCAAAACATGGTTTTCTTTCAAGAGCACAAGAACATCATTTTCTCTTTCTAAAACCAAACTTTAAATCAATGCATGGCTTATGAATCATTCTAGATCATGCAATGCGATTAGATCAACATAAAGAACGACAATAGTAGATCAAGAATCTAACCTCAAAACATGGATCTAACGGTTCAAACTCTAAAGATCAAGCTTGGGATTTTGCTCTCTCACTCTAACTTCTCTTCCTCTTCCTAAAGCTTCTCTCTCTACAATGCAAAAGGTATGACACAAAATGACATGGGTTCTCAGCTAGTACCTAACTTAACCCTCTGCTGGGACACGTGACAACGCCGGATTGGATCTCCTCAAAAAGATAACAAAATGACCAGACAAGAGTATGACAAAGTGTGTATAACAAGCAAGGTGACAAGGGCACTCTAACAAGGTAATGATCTCGGATTAGAGCATCGGCTTCGAGCAAGAAGGTTTCGATGATCTCGGCCAGAAAGGATTACACTTGACCTAGCTGTGCCACAACTCGGCCTAGATGTGCCACACCTCGGTCTAGGTCATACCAGTCCAGGAACAAGATCACTAGGTGCAAGGATCAAGGATGTTGGTTGCCTAGATGATAACATCTCGGCCTAGATGATACACACCTCGGCCTAGGTGATGACATCATGGCCAATATGCCAGGGTGAAGGTCGAGGTCAACCAAAGTGAGTTCCAAGATGGTCCTAGGTATAAGAGGTTCAAGGGTGCGACCTAGGCTACACACACCAAGCAAGGAACAAAGCATACAAGCAATACTCAAGCAAATCACATAAGCACAAAACAAGAGAGGGACCCTTACTTTAGGCAAAACAAGTCAACCTACAAATGCAAGCTTAACAAAACAAAATCATGCAGATGCACATGAACATGGCTAAGACGAGGATGAGGGTCATTACAAGACATCTCCTATGTTGTGCACATCCTCAGCCAGTTTGTTTCTGTCTCTCATTCCACACACTGGGTTGCCTTGCTCCGTACTCTTCGCTGCCTTCGTGGCACTTTGTTGCAGTGTCTGCTGTTATCTACCTCTTCAGACTTGACTCTTCGTCCCTATGATGATGCTAATTGGGCGAGTAACATCTCTTATCGCAAATCCACTTCTGGTCTTTGTGTTTTCCTAGGAGATTCTTTCATCTCTTGGAAGAGTAAAAAACAATCTATTATTTCTCGCTCCATTGCTAAGGCCGAGTACCGTGTCATGATTCATGCTACTTCCGAAATAGTTTGGTTTTGGTGGCTTCTTTCTGATATGGGTGTTTCTCTTTCTTCTCTGACTCCGTTGTACTGTAACAATTAGAGTGTTGTCCAGATTGCCCATAATTCGGTATTTCATGAGTGGACGAAACATATTGAAATGGATTGCCACTTTGTTAGATAGCATCTTCAAGCTGGCACTATCACTCTCCCTTTTGTTCCCTCCTCTCTTCAGTTGGCCGAGTTTTTTACGAAGACTCACACTGCTGCTCGTTTTCGTTTTCGTTTTCTTCTTGGCAAACTTTCGATACTTTCTGCACTCACATCCTCTATTTGAGGGGTGGTGTGAATGTGTATTTTATATTATTAATATTCTATATATTCATTAAGGATAGTTTAGTCTTATTCTTGAAATTAGGTTATTAGGGTTTTATTATGTATAGTTACTCAGCCCCTTTAGTTTATCATGGATTAATACAGATTAGCATTGTTTCCCTTGTAATACAACAATGTGTCAGTATTACATAGTACCACTGCTGCAAGGAGGCACACACGAATGCATGGATTATGGGCTGCAAAATGCGGTAGGCCTATCTTCTTACTGGAGAACCGTCAAGGGTTGCCTTGCTCTAGAGGCCAAGGTACAACCTGAAATGCATGACATACTACGTTAAGTGTCTTCCAACCTCGTACTAACTTCTTCCATGTGTGTCAATGCATGTGCAGTTTATATGCAGAGTCTATCAATCTTTTTGAGCTGGCTTCAAGGCTATGATGCTGTTTAACTTGACATTACTTTAATCCTACTGACATTAATAGATCACGGTTCAGAAAGATGGAGAACTGATTTCCAATAGAAGTTACAATATAGATGTTAGATAGCACTAGGCAGGTAAGCTAAAGAAAGGTTTGGAAAACACTCTACCGTAAATAAAGTACTGACAAAGCATTCGATGACATTTGCATGAAAAAATAAAGGTATGAACCTACATCAACAAGTGCAGGGTCAACCGTTGCATATTCTCCTTGGAAAATATAAACACATTTGCTTTGTCTTGATCTCTCTGAACCAGATTCTTCAGAAATTGTGAACTTCCACTCCGGGATAGCTTTGAGTGAACTTGAGGCAGATACCAGAATTGGATGCTCCATCAAAGCAAACAGCATATCACTTTCCTGCTCATAGAACAAGTTTTCATCTGTCAATTATTCAACACAAAAACGACAGGGGTGATGTAGGACAGCTTGCTGGATTTTTAAACAGTGCCTATTTGAAGGTCCAAACAAAGAGTGATTTCGGGTTTTAATGGTTAAGTTGACGGCTAATAGGTAGGAGACGGGATTAGGGTTAATTTGGGGATGATAGGATAGGGTTTTGGGGTTAAAAAGTGTACTTTTAGAGGGCTGCGACTAGTAACCCGAGAGTAGTAAGTAGGGTATGTGCACAAAGAAGAAGAAAGAGAAGAAGAAGAAGAGAGAAAAAGAAGTGCTTCACCCTCGCAAAGGTTAGGACAATTGCTCAGCAACACAATCTCAGATTCTCATAATATCAACTCTTCTTTGAATGATTGTGACTATACATATATTTATAGGCTAAAGTCTTTCCTACTTCTAACATCCTCAATACACACAAAAACCCTTCAAGAACCCCCCTTGAACCACCCTACATATTATTAGACTCAGTTCCTCCATGATGAAGAATGAAAAGCAAGGGTGACAAAAGGTCCACTGCTTAGGATCTGAAAAAGCCAGTAGCACATCCATTCACCAAAACTAAAAACTGAACAATAGAAATACAATTAAAAAAAAAATACCCAGCCGCCGTCTACTACCAAACTCTATCCTCCCCAACAAGTATTAGAAGAAAATCTCAATTCACATGATTATAGGTCTTCTCTACATCTAGCTTGCAAATCAACCCCGCCTCACCAGTTCTCAACCTAGAGCGAACACATTCATTAGCCAAAAGCACCAAAACTAGAATTTGTCAACCCTCCACCAAAGCATTTGAGAATCCGACACCACCTTATTCAACATCCCCCTTCAGATGGATACCCAAAATCTATGCCAACAATTATGTCTTGCAAAATAAGCTAATAGTCCTGAAGTCTCTAATGTCCTTCGTCCCCTTTCTTGGGGATCAAAGCTACAAAAGATGCATTCAAACTCTTTTCAAACACATCATGCTCATAGAAATAAGTTATCATAGCCATCACTTCGTTCACCACCTCCTAACAATTTTAGGAGTGAAAAGTACCATAGCATATCATCAGGCCTGAGACTTATCTCCATTGAGGTCTTTTAGGGCCCTAAGAACCTTATCTTCTCAAAAAGGTCTCTCCAGACACTTTGCCTAAGGATAAACTGGCAAAATCCATGCCATCCACCTGCTCTACTTAAAGAAACCTTAATAAAAGTTTGCCCTCTGTCCTGATCTTTGATTCATCTTTGCCCTCAATTCACACCTTGCCCAACTGATTATTTCTATTCTATCCCTTTTCGTAAGCCACAAGGATCTAGCCTTTTGACACAATGCCATTTTACTTTAAAATTCTCTTAGATGTTCAAAATGTCTCCTAAAAGTAAATCTTCCAATCACACAAAACCTAACCGAGCTGGTTACTTAAAACAATACCTTAAAATTGATTAAAACTAACTTCATAATGAAGAACAAAGGAATAAAAATAATAATAAACAGTTCCCAATAATTACTAATTAAAAAAATATATAGTTCAAAGTGAAGCATGAGTACTTCATACTTCGTATGGGACTTCTGCATACATATCAAGTACATAAAACAGTACCCAAAATTTTCTTCTTAGTAAGCCGTATATAATATATATCCAAGCCGTAACTCAATTGAAATATTATTTTCTTTCAGTATAGAGGTAAATTTAGTTTCATTGGACTTTTTTATTGTTATTATGCTTAGCATGATTTTAAAAATAACTATGATTTGTAAGTTATTTAATAAAATAATATTTAATTTTGATTTATACCTTTACTTTTGGCATCAAATGTGAATTGCAGGTTGAATCATAACAAACTAAATTATTTAACTAATTTTTATATTACTCCAAATTAAAAATAAATATTTTTTACAAACATACCCAGCCGTACCCAATCGACAAAACCGTCTCATACCAGTACAAGTACCCTAAATTGCACGTAATACTGTAACAAAAGAATACACTAATCAATAAGTATTAACGTATGATCAACCAATCTAACCCCCAAAAAGAAAATATTTGGAATTTTCTAGGCCAAGAAAGTGCGTTTTGACTTGGGTTGTGAACTAAATTATGCATAAGAAAAACTTATCGAAATTGAATGATCAACTGTGACAAATTCTCAGGTATGGACTGATCAGCTTTGACAATGAAAAAGAGAGACAGAGTGAATACATGGGGAGGAGTACCTGAGACGAAGATTCTGAGTCAACAGAAAATGGAACTCCGCCAACATATATCATGATTCTGATCGATTTTAGAGAGAGAAAGCTGCAGACGAAGAACAGAGATTTACTAGGACAAGGAGAGAGAGAGAGAGAGAGAGAGAGACGAGCGTAAGTTTGGGAGGAGTATATAAATGAGGGAAGAATATGCTTAAAGCCAAATTACACTCGACTCCCGTGAGTTTTAAAAACAAATACAGTGTGGCCCTGTTTGGCCATGGATTTTTGGGCTAAAATGGGCTAAAATTTAAATTATAACCATTCCACGTCTTTTCTCATGATTATCAAATTAATTATAAAAAATAATAAAAAAAGTGTTGCTATTAGCACCCTGGATTCCTATTTTTTTGGACCACTACTTATAAATTTTAAAATTCCTAAAATTTCTTTTCTCTCAAATAATACAAAAATTATTTTTGTGAAAATATTTTATCCATTCAATTAAGAGTTGCTTTGGGATGTTCTAAAAAAGTACATTTTTTGACTTATTGGCTTATATGGATTGGGTTTGGGTTGGGTTTGATGTGATGTGTTTGAGAGGTAATGTGATTTAAATAAGATGATGTGACTTAAATAGGATAGTGACTTTTTGACTTTTTGTATTATTTAAGTCATGCCAAACTTGGCCTAAATTCACATCCCTACACCCCAAAAGTTTCTCTCTCCCCAAAATCCTAACAAAGCCTACATAAGTGATTATTACCTCATCTCCACATATTTGTTCATGACCTAAGAAAATAAATGTAGGGTTTTTTTGTTGTCGATTCAAAATTTTCACGAGATTCGATTATCTGTTCCCGGATAAATAAGAAATGTTCAGTTACTTATTTCCGAACAAATGAACAATGTTTGGACCTGTATTTTTTGAATTTCAATCATATGTTTGGAAGTTTAATCCCGAAAAAATGGCGAACAGTTTTTATTATTTTTGTCATTTTTTTCAAGAAACTTATCCTTACAAGATCGATCTCCTCTGAGCTAAGAATACCATCAAAGTTATGAATCTCCCCTTAGTTTTTATTATTGTACTTCTCTCGTCTCATGGAGTTGTGATTACTGGAAAAACTTTCACTCATTGTTATTACCACCGTTACTGCCGGAATATTATCGCTAAAGGGCTTTCAAGGTTTTGAGGGTATGTAGGTTTTGAAGATGGCATTTGGGAAAAATGGATGAATGATGATGGAGGTGGGTGCTCTCATAAACCCTAACTCATGATGTAGTGAGTGTATGGATTTCATTGTGAGATAGGGTGTCTCAAAATTATTGATGTCCTTTTTAATAATTTCATCTGAGGTTATTATTGTAATAAGAAAAAAAAGTACAAAATGGGAGATCCAAAATAATTGATGAAGTGCTAATAACAGCACTCAAAAAAAATCAACCAACTTTCCAAACAAGTCATTAGTCTAATAATTTTGACATTATTATACTCACATTCGTTAAGGATATAATTAATATAAAATTAGATCATTTTTCATCAATAATTTACGGAGAATTTATTACAAAATTTTCTTTCAAGTACTTGTATCCCAAATTTATCCATAACATATTATTATATTCTAATAAATCCTATTATTTATGAAGAATTTATTTGAAAATTTTCTTTCAAGTACTTATATCCCAAGGAGTTGGCCCAGTGGGTGTAACTTGGGATTTAAAGAGTGTGCTTCCTTTAGGTTTCAAGTTCAACTTCTATTAGGAGCAATTGGCTCTTTTGGATTTTGTCAACTCTGAACTACCTTCTAATGTTTAATATTGTGTCCTTTCTTTGATAGATTAATTACCAAGTTCCTAACCATTTCATAATTTTTTATTTAATTAATCAAGTTATTTATTTATTTATTTTGGATAAGTAAAAACGATTTCATAATTTAATTACGCATCCCAAGATTAATTATCGAGGAACTTTTTTTGGATCAAATCAATTGCAAGGCATAATTGTATTTGGGCATTGGGTTTTTTGAGAGCAGGTCAGTGCTTATATCCTTGGAGAATACAGTCACCTTCTGGCCAGACGGCCTGGGTGTAGTCCAAAGGAGATTTTTAGCATCATACATGAGAATTCCTACTGTTTCGAAAGGGCACTTGAACTTCTGCTTTCTTGGTAATATTTGTTATTCATCATTTAAGTAACTTAATGGACAATATGCATCATCAGGACTTCTACAATTTCCATTCTTCTTTCAACATATGCTAAGATTTTAATGCACAATCAACCCCCAGACCCAGAATTATAGAATCAAATTTGGGCAATTTTTCACAAGTGAGTTTTAACCCATTCTAGATTGTAATTTTTTCCTTTCATTTATTTAGAGCTTGTGGTTCATGCTTTCTCACAAAATGCCTTGAAATTCTTTTACACTGTCTTGCCCTTCTTTCTTTCCAGATATGAGAGTTGTATTGATGTTGAGATACCGCAAAGAGCTGTTGAATATTTTGCATTGTGTAGGAAAGGTGCAGATTTAGTGGATATATTGGCTGAAATGCCTAAATTCCCCAAGCGCCAGGTATGTGATCTACAACATTTGAGTACAATCGGATTCAACCCAATTTCTTTTAAGAATTGTTAGCCCAGTTTCTTTTAATATATATCTATATATATGCACATATGTATATACATGTATGATACTGTTTATGACACTGATAATAGTATTTTCTTTTGTATTTAGTCTGCATTGATTAGAAAAGCTGAAGATACTGAAGCTGATACTGCGGAGCAAAGTGCTACTAAGTTACGGTCACTGCATCAAACTTCTAATGCATTGGTAGTGACTGACCAACGCCCTGCCAATGGAATGCCACATGTGAACCAGCTTGGTCTGGTGAAAGTGCCCAACACGAGCAATGTGGTGAGACATGTTTAAGCTGGATTTTATGAACCATAGAGTTGACAATTTGAGATTCTATTAATTTTAGCTTCACTTAGAAACTGATCAGGGGTTGACTATTTGGATAGGATCATAACTCAGCAGATCAAGGGGTGACTGAGGCGAATGGGACTCTGACTGTGGTAGATCCACAACCGCTTGACCCTTCAGCTAACCCTTCAGCCTGGACCACTTTCTCCCCTCTTTTTTTTCAATTGATGTCTTATCTACTTTCTCTTTCATTTTTTTATTTTTTAGGGAAAATTACATACACAAAAAAAAAAAAAAAAAACCACGGTTTGGCCATGGAATTATGTATGGAATTATATTTTTGAGATTGGATTATACTTGATTTGTATAGAATTTTTTTTGGAAATATTAATTTGATGTTAAATATGATTTTTTTTTTATGGTTGAAAGTGAAATGTGTGTGTGTTGTGGAGTGGTTGCTAATTTTATCAGCATATAGATAATTTTATTTATAAAATGGAAAAAAACTTTTGGCTACTAAATATTTGGTAGCTAAAAATAAAAATACAATGGAGAAAAACTTTTGGCTACTAAATATTTGGTAGCTAAAATAAAAGCAGACTTTAGGCGACTAAGAATTTAGTAGCTAAAAAAAATAAATGAAAAAAATAAAAAAATAAAAAGATGAAAAAAACCCTTTGGCGACTAATACTTTGGTCGCCATAGATACTTCAAGTTTTGGCGACCAAAGTTTTAGTAACGGAAAATAAGATTTTTGGTGACTAAAATTTTATTTTAGGCGACTAAAAATATTAGTCGCCATTTATAGGACTTTTGGCGACTAAATATTTTTAGTCGCCAATACCTTCCTCGATAAGCTTTCCGCAACCAGTCTAGCAACCAAAATATTTAGTCGGGCAAAGCATTTGGCGACTAAAAATTGTACTTTTGGCGACTAAAAATTTAGTCACCAAATGTGCATTTTGTTGTAGTGTTCTTCTTTCTTCAATTCTATTTCCTTCATCATATCCTTTTCTGTTAGAAAAATAGTACCAAACTATTTGAAAAATATAATTTAAAAATATGTAAACGATTTTTGGGCAAAACCAAAATTGAAATAAATTGACAAAATAACAGAACAAAATTTACAATACATAAATAGATAAAACCTGATCGAGTCGAGTGTGTAACACTCTTTCCCTCAAAATAATACATAACAGATTTGTCCTCCCACCAGTGTTTAGAATTCATGGACGTCTATCTCTCAGGATACAACGATCAATGTCTTGCACTAGCAGCACTACTATTGCAAGCCTAGCGAACTTCGCTGTGCATGTACTCTCTTTATAGGAAAATTAGACTCAGAAAATATGAAGAATAAATGCAAAGTGAAGAAGAAAATTGCAATTCTCCTCTTAATTGAAGTGAGGGAAATGAAATATATAGCCTTCTATGAGAATCTTTGGAAAGGTTGTGACTCTTCAAAATGACACACATTTCCAACTCAAAAGACACAACCATTGGAGTAAATTTTAATTCAAATTTTCCAACAATCCCCCACATAAATGAAATTTACGGAAAGGACATGCAACAACATGCTGACAAAGAGAGAGCACATTAAGGAAATACCCTGCATCAAGATAAGTAGCTTTCAGCTTTGAACCTTCCCTAGTGAAAGCCTATCGGACTTACTAGCTAATCAGCGGACGTGATGCCTTGAACTATTCAGCCGTTTATGTAAGTCAAGACAATAGAATTCACACAGAATATCTCTAGACACGGTTTAGTTCTCACGGTTGTGCCCGTTTTGGCTTTGGGCAAGTCCTGGTGTTTCGTGAGTGCTTTAGAAAATTTAGCCTTATCAATTCTCATAGAAGCGACCCCTTCACACTTATATAGGTGATCCTTATTTCGAGTCTCTTAAATACTCCTTTTGAAAGATACCTCTCTAGGGTTTTCAAGATATAAGTGATCATTAATAGCATAGCTTACCCTAAGTCCCCTACATACAACACATGCTGCAGATATCACTCTCATTATAGGAATGGATAGGAGATAAACTCCTTTAGTGATTTATGGCGAGCCACACATAACTTAGTTGTCCCTTTGAACTTAGTTCTTGGGATCTCTAGTCATCTAAGTAGGGTTACCATTATGATGACTCTAATGTAATAGGCTTTAATCACATTCCCCTCGATAAACTTTTCCTCATTTGGTCTTTGGTCAAACTTTTTGTTTAGCGGCCGCTATTTTTCGTTTGAACTTCTTAATTATATATATCATTGAGTAGTTAGTG